TTAATTGGTTCAGGTGTGTTTGATATGGGTAGCAACTGAAATCTGCAGGAAGGTGGCTCTCCAGGAACAGGGTTGGCCACCCCTGATCTAAACAGTCCACAAGAAAAGACCAATGAGGATCTGGATTCAGGAACATACCTCATTTGGTCAGATCTATGCATGTCTCCAACCCAATCCTGAAGTTACCTCAAGGACTGACAACATCCCTCTGAAACATTCCAGATAATTGCAGCATCAGAACTGCGAATATTTAGCATTCCGTGCAGAGACTTGGCACCATAAATGTTTCTTCTTGCTGAATTTAGATGCAAGAACTGTAGAAAGTCTTGCCTCAAGACAGAGAAGAAAGTTCGCCTTCCTTCACACAGCTAAGGCCATCTCAGGTTACAGAAAAAGAAAACTGCGGAAATGCTGAGAAACACACCGCACTGATGTCTTTACACTAGCATGCTAGCAGCTAAACACTTGCATCCCTTCCTCATCACTTAGGTTCACACACTCGCCTTCATTATCAAGCTCATCTAGCTCCAAGCTCCCGAACGAGTATTTGTTTCTGGGGAGGGGGGAGGAGCTATTGCCAGCTTGGTTTTCAAAGCCTAGCGATTGGCTGCAGGAGCCAGTAGACTCCGCCTCCTCAGAGTCGCTAGTGTCGGTTCCACTACTGGTGGAGCCGTCGATCATTTGCACAGCCCCAAACCGCCGGTGAGGGGAACTTAGCTTAAGACTGGCCTTGCCAGGAGGCGTGAGCCCATTGGCTAGCATTCTGCGCTCCAGCATGGCCATCCTCTCAGAACGGGACAGAACTGGGGTGTGTGGCTGATTCAGCACACGCAAGTTCCTGTCTAGCTGGCTGACTGTATTCTGGGACTTGTTTGAGGAACGATTCATAATCGGGGAGCAGCTACTAAAAAGTCCACCCCTGTCTTCCCGTCCGGCTTTTGAACTGACGCTCCGCCCAGCATGTCCGTTATACTGGGCGTGGCTTAGTGAGCCCGTCCTGTGAATGGAAGAGGGGGCAGGGCTAGAGGTCAGGCTTCTGGTGCCGGTGTGGTGATTTAAGTTACTCTTTGTGGCCAACTCTTCCAATAAGGTGCTATGAAGTGGCCCTCGTACACGGCCACCAAACAAGGACGACTCAAAGATGCTAGCACTCTGATTTGGAGAGGAGGGGCTGGGATAGCTGTGGGCGGGGCTTTCAGCTTGACTTACAGGGGAAAGAGGCGGAGATTCTTTCTGCCTGAACTTGCCGAAGTATCTGTCCTGCTGATGTAGTCTGGGCAAACTAAACCCTGTGCAATCACTGTTGCCGTCACGTGTGTGTGAGTGCGACCTGCTGACGCGACCTCTGACTTCATGCTCACTAAACTCTGCATCGCTGCAGTCAATGTACGGGATGGATGAGCTGCTGCCTTTAGCTGCACGGGACGCCAGACCTGCTCGATCCACGGCCTGCTGCTGCTTTGCTGCTGGACTCCTGCTGTCCTCCTGAACGGGGTACGTTTGGTCACTGCATCCGTTGCGCTGGGTTGACGGAGAGGAGTTTCCACATGGCCTTAATACAGCAGAATCTTCTGAGCTCACTAAAAATGCACCCTCCCAACTCTGCTTGGCAGCCTGAGATAGGACAAAAGAAAGGAAAAAGTCTTCAGTCATCAGCATTATGGGTTTCAGAATGTTCTGAGTACTACCCAAATTACAGCATACAACTGTCAACTGTAATTGTCTAGTCCAGGGGTCACCAACCCTGTTCCCGGAGAGCTACCTTGATGCACATTTCAGTTGCAACCCTGACCAAACACACCTGTTTGTAATTATCAAGTGCTGCTTTAGGTACTATTAATTGGTTCAGGAGTGTTTGATCAGGGTTGGGACTGAATTCTGCAGGAAGGTAGCTCTCCAGGAACAGGGAGGGTGACCCCTGGTTAAGTCATTCACAGTGATGATCTTTTTATGAAAGCTCCATAGGATCTAGAGTGGACAACTCTGGTCCTGAAGTGGACAAGTTCCATGTCTAATGGCCAGTTTCCACTGAGTGGTATAGTCCGGTATGGTTTATGAAAGTTCCATAGGGTCCAGACTAGGGATGGAAAACTCTGGTCCTTCAAAGTTTAGTTCCATATCTAATGGCACATTATGGTATGGCTCACCTTTATCAGGCTTGCGTTTCCACTGCCAAAAGGAGACAAATGGTGGCATGGTATACGACCCTTACAGTCCCCGATATGTTACTAATTACAGATAAACTACACACAGCAAACATTTAGTCCTTATTTGGGTTCATAAACAACACGCAACATATAGCCTGCAGTCGGTGCAAACCTCTCATCTATGTCTTTAATCTTCAACACTCTGTTAGAGGGTAATTCCGTCATCCCAAGCTCATAATAGTCCAGAAGGCGATGATAATAGTTAAACATGGGGGTTTGGTCATGATTCAGGTTGCTGAAAGAATCATTTACTCTTTTGTTTTCCCGTTTCTTCATACATCGCTCGTCACTCTGCTGTTTGTCCATTTCTGAAAGGATCGGATGTTAGAAGCACTTCAATAATCATGTGCACGTTATTATCATCAGCTCAAGAAGTTCATTGTTTCAAATATAGATGTGCGGCGATCGCATTCAAGAAAGAGAAACCGTTCACGCTTTAGACGGCCTTGTAAACAACTACAGGGCACAGGATGATTCTGCTCTGCTCTTCTTCTTGGCTTTGTGGCTGTTCATCAAGACGACGACAAGGTTTGTTTGAGCTCGGGTCGACCGGTCGACTTGTTATTATGTATATAGTACTATAATATAATGTCTCGGCTGTGTATTTAAAAATGGCGCTTCCTCTGTTTTCATTCTACTGGCTTATGCACGAGCTAGTGACATATCTCTGTAAACCAATAGCGTTTAGCTGCGAGTCTAGCTTTGCCTTTTGGTCCCCTTTTGTTGTGCTAGATACTCTTTCGAAAGAGCACCCAAATAGTGATATGGTACGGATAGCTGTGGGCGGGGCTTTCGGCTTGGCTTATAGGGGAAAGAGGCGGAGACTCTTTCTGCCTGAACTTGCCGAAGTATCTGTCGTGCTGATATAGCCTAGGCAAACTAAACCCTGTGCAATCACTGTTGCCGTCACGTGTGTGTGAGTGTGACCTGCTGTACCTTTTAGGTACCTTTTGACAGTGAAAACAGCCATAAAAACGTACCAAACCCTACCATACCACTCAGTGGAAACGGACCATAAATGAACACACCTGCAGTCATAAAGCCATATGCTTTACCAGTGCATTCCAAATGGGATATATCGCCCTCTGAAGGGCGAACTTCAAATTGAAAACAATCATATTAAAAAACCATACAGATGTTTGATTAATAAAATACTGATAATATAATACTGGCTGCAATACTGGCTTCAAATCCTCTCCAGAGCAAATGATTCTGACCAACACTGTTCTAGAAGTAGAAACACAAAGCTTGTGTGTCCTATATTACATTTATAATTTGATCTATAATCTTTAATAGCTACACTTCTTGGGGTTTTCCAGTAAGTACTGCAGATGATGATGATAACGCCAAGACTATGAATGGAGTTAGCTCTGTGTGAATAATAGTTTGCAGATAGTTCCATCATGTGTCATTCTGGTACACTTGCCAAGGCTGGATTATTAACTGGACCACTGGGATCATTGCCAAAACGGCCTACAAAGCTTTGTGACATGCATTAGGCTGCCAGGACCCTCAGTGAATGAAGACTGAAGCTCCTCAGTACATATAATGCAGACATTGCTTCATTTTATTATTTATAGGTGCATTCAGACATTTTTCTACATAAAGCATTACCTTGCTGTACTGTTAATACTATACTACAGTGTTTTATTGGTTCACTGTCAGCTATTGGCATGGATAAGCAAGAGCTGGCACTACGGTACACACACACAGGGGTGGCATTCACACCAATTCAATGCTGATTTGGTGGGTTTCCCTCAGATCCAGGGCGATCCTCCACAACATCTTGAAGATTTATTTATTTATTTATTTAAATTAAGCTTATATCAGTGAGTTTTTATAGAGCGCTCTACTTTACATAGTTACTAAATCTATTATTTCCTTTACAAGAAATATTGGAAAAATCTCGGAAATGTCCTTAAGGTACTTCACAAAAATATACTTATTGCAATCAATTATATTTTAATTAGTAATGCATAATTTTTTGTATATTTAGTGTACTTTCATGTACTAAATGGCATTAAATTGTGCAATAATGCACATTTATTTTTACCGTGTTGTACTCCCCATCTGTGTAAATCATAAATGCACATTTATTATTCACAGGACTATCATAAGGCTGACAATTCAACTGAGTATGTCTTCTGTGAGTATATCAGGCTTATACTATATATGGAATGTTTATTCGCAAAAGGGGTGGAGCATCAGAAGGTGCAGCTCATTTGCATTTAAAGAGACAAACAAACAGTGTGTCTTTTGGTTCAAACATTTAGGGGTTAGTTCACCTAAAAATGAACAAACAAAATGATCATAACTTACTCACTCTCGATGCATCCTAGGTGTAAATGACTTTGTCAGTCGAATGCAGTCAGAGTTATTTTAAAAATTATCTTGGGCTTTCCAGCTCTACAATGGCAACGGTCGGCTCATTTTAATCAACAGTCCAAAAGAAGTCCAATAAAGCACATCCAGCTATAATAAAAAGTGCTTCACGTGGCTCTGTGAGATTATTAAAGGTCTCTTTTAGTGAATCCAATTTTTTGTAAGACAAATCTCCATATTTAAACACTCCTGTCTAGCTGATAGTGTAAATCGCCAGAATTAATGCGTTTGCCAGAAGTTACACACAGGATTTATTCATTCATTCATTTTCTTGTCGGGTCAGTCCCTTTATTAATCCGGGGTCGCCACAGCGGAATGAACCGCCAATTATCCAGCACGTTTTTATGCAGCGGATGCCCTTCCAGCCGCAACCCATCACTGGGAAACACAAGGATTTATAAAGATATAAATATGGATAAACTTATATAAACGCATAGATCAACTACAGGAGATGATTATTAATATTTGTGTGAACTAACCCTTTAAAACTGGCGATTTCAGCAAGCTTAAAAATACCCATGGGTACACACACAGGGCACATCACACACTTGTAAAAAGGAAGGATGGTAACCCTTAAGAATAATGGTCCACTAGTTATTGTTGCTTAATGTATTTACTAACATTAAGTAAGTATGAATAATCTTGTAAAGCATTTATTAAACATTAAAATCCAAAGTTGTGCTTGTTGGTATTAGTAAATGCACAGTGAGTTAACATAAACCATCAGTATTTAACTTCAATAACAATACTAAGATTAACACAGATGAATGAATGCTGTAATAAATGTATTGCTAATGGTTTATTCATGTTAGTGAATACATTAAATAAAGGACTGTTATTTTAAAGTGTTACCAGGAGTGCAATACCTTCCTTTTAAAACATCAGCAAACTTCTGAAAGCATCTGTAATGTCAGTCACTGTCCACCATTCCTGATTTGATTCCCGTGTGCTAGTGTTTGTTCTGAGTGAGCATTCCTTACAAACATCTCTTGCTTGTGAAAACATGCACCTACTTGATTTGGCACTTGGTGCTGTGCAGAGCCCAGAGGAGATAGACTGCTGTTGCACTGCACTCGACTGTGCTTCCTGAGAGACAGAGAGAGAGAGAGAGAGAGAGAGAGAGAGAGAGAGAGAGAGAGAGAGAGAGAGAGAGAGAAAGAGAGAGAGAGAGAGAGAGAGAGAGAGAGAGAGTTGTTATTGTTACTGTTTTTTTGTTTTGTTTATTCATATACCTATATTACTGCTGGGCAAAAATGAATTGCAATTAATACAAATAAAAGTTTAAATAAAATGTATAAATATAAATAAAAGTTATACATATAAATTTGCATAATTTGTGTGCACTATGTACATTTATTATGTATATATAAATGCACACATGCATGAATACATTATAGAAAATATTTATTTATATTTAGATACAAAAATATATGCATTTGACATATACATGTATGTACATACATACACTTACCGGCCACTTTATTAGGTACACCTGTTAACTGCTCGTTAACGCAAATGTCTAATCAGCCAATCACATGGCAGCAACTCAATGCATTTAGGCATGTAGACATGATCAAGACGATCTGCTGCAGTTCAAAGCGAGCATCAGAATGGGGAAGAAAGAGGATTTAAGTGACTTTCAACGTGGCATGGCTTTTGCTGCCAGACGGGCTGCTCTGAGTATTTCAGAAACTGCTGATCTACTGGGATTTTCACGCACAACCATCTCTAGGCTTTACAGAGAATGCTCCGACAAAGAGGAAATATCCAGTGAGAGTTCTGTGGGCGCAAATGCCTTGTTGATGAGGTCAGAGGTCAGAGGAGAATGGCCAGACTGGCTCCAGCTGATAGAAAGGCAACAGTAACTCAAATAAGCACTCGTTACAACCGAGCTCTGCAGAAGAGCATCTCTGAACACACAACACGGCCAACCTTGAGGCGGATGGGCTACAGCAGCAGAAGAGCACACCGGGTGCCGCTCCTGTCAGCTAAGAACAGGAAACTGAGGCTACAATTCACACAGACTCACCAAAACTGGACAATAGAAGATTGGAGAAACGTTGCTGCTCTGATGAGTCTCCATTTCTGCTGACACATTCGGATGCTCGGGGCAGAATTTGGCCTCAACAACATGAAAGCATGGATCATCCTGCCTTGTATCAGCGGTTCAGGCTGGTGGTGGTGGTGTAATGGTGTGGGGGAGATTTTCTTTGGGTCCATTAGTACCAATTGAGCATCAACGCCACAGCCTACCTGAGTATTGCTGCTGACCATGTCCATCGCTTTATGAGCACAGTGTCTCCATCTTCTAACAGGATAGCGAGCCATGTCATAAAATCTCTGAGGAATATTTCCAGTACCTTGTTGAATCTACGCCTTGAAGGATTAAGGCAGTTCTGAAGGCAGTCCAAATATACTAGTAAGGTGTACCTAATAAAGTGGCCGGTGTGTGTATGTATCTATGTAACAAAATAGTTTTAAATAATTCTGTTTCTTTCACACGCACACGCACACGCACACACACACACACACACACACACACACAATACATCTTAAAGAAAGATCAGTGTCAAACTGTTGAATTTCCATTTATTGGATTATCGATCAGACTCACCTGTCGAAGGGCAGCTTCTTAAACTCATTTTCCTTCACATAATCAATCACCTGCTTCTGTGTCCGACCGCTGCAGAGAAGAGCACAACATTAACTCAAACCATAAGAAAAGCGTTTCCACTGACCTCCCTGTTGTGCAGAATACAGTAAAATAATCATGAGTAAATTAATAATGACAAACTATTCCAGCATATGTTTTACACAGCGGATGCCCTTCCAGCTGCAACCCAGTACTGGGAAACATCCATTCACACTCACATTCACACACACTCAATACACCACCACCAATTTAGTTGATTAGTTCCCCTTTAGCGCATGTGTTTGGACTGTGGGGGAAACCAGAGCACCCGGAGAAAACCCACACTAACACGGGGAGAACATGCAAACTCCACATAGAAACACCAACTGACCCAGCCGGGACTCGAACCAGTGACTGTATTGCTGTGAGGCCACAGTGCTAACCACTGAGTTATTGTGTCATTTATTTTATTTGTAATATTAAAAGTAGTAGTAGTAGTACAGAATACATGGTTGATGTAATAAGTAATTTAAAGGGGAGCTATTATGCAAAAATCACTTCTATAAGAGGTTTTACCCCAGTTGTGTGTCAGCAGTGTGTGAATATCTCCAGCATCTAATGGTCAACATGCATTAATTGTGTTTGATCCAATCAGACTTGATGAAAGCAGTCTGCAGAAACACTTTGATTGACATTCTCCCTTTGTATGTTGTCATCAGAGGGGGAAAGCCCCGCCCACTAGTGCCCATCTCTCCCTCATTAGCATAGGTTGTTAGTCTTGTTTTTGAATCTGTCACTATGCTGACACACAGGCATTCACAGCTCCGCCCTCTTCTGAATAGAGCACAATCTCATTTGCATTTAAAGCGACAGTCACCAAAACACCACAATTAGGATCAAAGCCTGAAAGGGTCAGTATCAGAGAGCTGAAGAACATTATCTGTGGGGTATTTTCAGCTCAAACTTAATAGTTCCACTTTAAACATGTAAAAAGTTACAGCATTATGTACATTAGACTTAATAATAGATAATGTCAGCTGCAGTACCTGAACCTGAAGGAAGAGCCTCTGCTGAACAGCACTGCTTTAGGTTTGGGTCTGGGCTCCTCGAAGAGCCTGAAGAAGGCGTGATTCTCCACACTGATCTTCCAGAACATCTTACAGCAGTCCCGACTCGCCATCAAAAACTCCAGAGTGTCTGGACTCACATTTTGCTACAGAACGGACAGACAAGAGACGCCATATTATACTCTAAAAGTGCTGAAGATTCACATGGACTGCATATCCCATCACGCTCTGCACTCACACAGCAGTTTCAGGTCACCTCTTGATTACACACACAGCTGAAGCTCAATTATTTGGATGATATATACAGTTGAAGTCAGGATTATTTGCCCTCCTGTGAATTGTTTTATTTCCCAAATTATGTTGAACAGATTCAGGCATTGTTCACAGTGTTTCCTCTAATATTTGTTCTTCTGGAGAAAGTCTGATTTGTTTTATTTGGGCTAGAATAAAAGCAGTTTTTAATAGTTTTAAAGCCATTTTAAGGTCAATATTATTAGCCCCCTTCAGCAATATTAGTGTTGGATTGTCTCCAGAACAATGACTTGCCTATTTACCCTAACTTTACCCTAACTTTACCCTAGTGAAGCCTTTAAATGTTTCTTTAAGCTAAACACTAGTGTCTTGAAGAATATCTAGTCTAATATTATTTACTGTCATCAAGGCAAAGAGAAAAGACATCAGTTATTATAAATGAGTTATTAAACTTTTATGTGCAGAAATGTGATGAAAAAATCTCAGTTAAACAACAACTTGGGGAAATAAATATGCAGGAGGGCTAATATTTCAGACTTCTGCATCTGTAGACATCAGTAGAGACCGAAGTGAGACTCACAGTAGGGTCTGCTCTCAGCTTGATGAGAAACCTCCGTCTCTTAAAGCTCAGCTTGCGAATCGCAGACCAGTTGAAGCTGTTGATCCTGTTGTGACCCTGAGAACAACACAAATAATCTCACTTATAGGGACAGTTCACGCAAAAATGAACATCTCCTCACCAATCACTCACACTGAAGAGACTCTAAATGAGATGTTTATTGATTTTAATTAGATATTTATAATGGCGGGAAATAAGCAGCCACCCAGAGTACACACTGAGTAATTATTTTGACATTTATGCTATTAATTTACATTTTTACACTTTTATTTCTGCTTTTGAGTTGCATTACAGATGCTTGATCGTTCCTCCAACAACTTTAAGCTTGAAAAGTGTGTAAAAGTGATTTTTCTGAGCATGTGTAATGCTTTATTGTGTGTGTTGGTGTTATTAAATTACGTTACAAAAACCTTATAATAAACTGCGGCAAAGTTTCTGTTATTTTACAGATTTATTTCTCTTGATATTTTTTCTTATACGTCATATTATTTACTAAAATGTCAGTAAAAGTCATTTGTTAAACTGTAGAGCTGAATTTCACCATCAGATGTGGACAGAGCAGAGGTTAACATCCCAATATGCAATTCACAACTGCAAATAAACCCAAAATACACAGAAAACTGATTAATTATAAACTGATCTGTTTATTAACAGATGCTTTTACAGTGTAGGAAAAAAAATCCACCCAGGCTCATTCTGAAAACGTAGCCCCGCAGAAGATTCAGGAGACCGTGATTTACGTGGCTCGAGGTACGTATGGCTGCATTTCGTTTTTTCAAGCAAACGCTGCGGGGCGGTGTGACGCCGATCCTCTTCGCGTTCGCAGGCTGGGCCGCAAACAGTTTGTCCGGTTAGCTCATTGTATTATGTCGGCAGAGCGGAGGCCCGGAGGAGGAGGAGCCGGCCGCGTTCGATTCCAGAAATCAGGTAAGACAAAAAACAGAATCCAAAAAATAAAGCGAACGTGTTTGTAAAGGGGCGAGAATGCGGTGAAATCCGAAAACGCGGTCAAAATTGGATAAAGGTCTTTTCTTTTTCTGCACGGCTTTTGTAAACCGTTGCTTGGGTCTAGGGAAGAAGGAGGATGAGGGGCCGACCCCCAATCAATCGTTCAGTCATTCAGCCAGACGGCGGCTTCTGTACGTACCTCCTGGGAAGTATTTTATGGTCTCCAGAAACGTCCGTGGGGCTACATTTCCAGAATGAGCTTGAGTTGCAAAAAATACTACAGAAGTCAAAAGCTCTGTTTGCTTCTGAAGGTCTGCATTTCCATTTCAAGGCCTGTCTCGTCACTGGACATTGTTGTGAAGCAGTAATTTTCTATGTCTGTTGCTCAAGTCTGAGCATTGAATCAAACGCAACTAAAATGATTCAATAAACTCTGCTCTTTCTTTATCATCATGACTTCGTTTCTTGCTTCTGCTCCTCTCTGGCTTTTTCAGTTAACTCCTATAATGACAGGAGACTGTTATTCAGTCGAATATTGCTTGACAGGTTTGGGTATCGGGCAGCTCCGCTGGCTTGTTGTCTGGATGCCCAGAGAAACACATCATGGAAAGTGTGATCTAACACATCCAAATAACTAAATGTATCTGCAAATCTGGAAACATTGTTGAGTGAAGCAGCGTTTGAGAATGAGAATCTAAAGAGAACACAATCATCACATCCAGCTGAACTGTCAGAAATATCGCTGAGAGAAGTGGAGTTTGCTGCACTGTTGGGATTCTCCACTGCGGTGTTTGTTCTTCTCTAATAAATGAGCTGCGCCTCAGAAGACAAAGACCAAACGCAATCAACACAGTGGCTTATGAAGACGTGAGACGAGAGCGCAGACTGATGCTCAAGACAGTTCTGCAGGGAATAATAATAGAAGAATACTACTGAAGTACTGTGATGGCGGACGGGCTGAGGGCTTTTACAATCAGCACAACAACATTTCAGATCAGCAACAACGCAAAGCTGGAAACATGGAGAGATGCAGACCAACACTAATGACGCAAACACCCTCACACACGCATTTACATCTGATCAGCATCTGAGAGAAACTACATCACAGCACACACACTGATGAAGAGCTTAGTCACTAAATATGTTCACATCAGCGTTTACGGGCATTATTTCTTATCGAATAAAAGTTCATCCTACTCAGTTGTGCACATATATTGTTTTATGTACATTTTCAAAAATGATGCGCATCTTAGTGTTTCCGTTTCCGTGTGTGTATGTGTGTGTGTACCTGAAACACCAGGACTCCGCCGTGTGCAACAGACAGACTGACTTTATTTCCTTCTCTGTCCTTTGCTGGATGAAGTCTGATGCCGTACATCTCCAGCCTGCAGGCCAGCTCCAGCAAACGGTAGTCTGACTCTGCTGGTGTCTGACCCCTGAAACACACACACACACACACACACACACACAACAATGCTTTTAGTACACTTAGGTTTGGTTCACCTCAGATAAAACTTAATATCAAAGTCTGCACTCCGGTCTTGATCCAGACTTATAGAGAATTCAATCCAGACCCACCTCTATTTCTTACTGAATAAACAATAGTCACATCGCAGGATATGCAGTGTCGAACTTGTGTTATAATTTATGATTTGCATGTGATCTTGAGGATTTTAAAAGGATTCAGGCATAAGTAGTTGTACTGTTAGTAACATTAATAACAATTAAATGTATTAAATTATTCTTACTTGTCATTTACTGAAGATTAATAGACGATAAAACATTATTTCTTTCAAATGTAACTTTTTCTTAATTGTATTTATCCATGCTTTTTAAATTCATCCAATCATTAATTTTCCTTCAGCTTAGTCCCTTATTCATCAGGGGTCGCCACAGCGGAATGAACCAGAAACTATTCTAGCATATGTTTTACAGGGCGGATGCATTTTCAGCCGCAACCCAGTACTGGGAAACACCCAAACACACACACACACACATACAAACACACACTCATACACTACAGCCAATTTACTTTCCTGATGCTCTGTATGTGGATCTGTAAGTTATTGAACTGCACGCTGTGTCCATGGCCATTGTGTGTGTTTTCAGGTAGACTCACTTGTGTTTGAGGTGGAACTCCATGATTTTGTCCATCAGCGCCATCTGGTCAGGCATGTAGTTGGTGTTGAGCAGATGCTGTCTGCACTGAGTCTCTTCAAAATCTCCAATCTCAGCTAAATACACACACACACAACACACACACACACACACATGCTGAGAAATACACACACACACACACACACACACACACACACACACACACAGAGAGAGAGAGAGAGAGAGAGAGAGAGAGAGAGAGCAGGCATTGAAATGAGACACAGAGCTCATTAATATTCATGACCATTCCAAATATGGTCAAAACCAAACTTTTCATGCTGGGAGTCATTTCCGTATATCTAAATTAGCACTCTATAGTGCCTTTAAGTCAAACTGGTAAATTAAATCAGCTTAAATACACATGCATAAATTATCTCTCTCACACACAAGCACACACACACACACACACACACATACACACACACAGTGTTTATAACTCACACTGGATGATGTGAGACACCAGCAGAGCGGCGCTGGAGTCACTGCAGGTCAGACGTCCACTTCCCAGATCCTGCCTGACCTGCAGAGCAAACAAGTATCTGAAACACACACACACACACACACACACACACACACACACAGGTGAGGGGCACAGGAGAGTGTGTGATAGTGATAGTAAAGAGAAAGTGAAGCCTCACCTGGTCAACTCCTCCAACAGCACAGACTGATCCGGAGGGAAAAACTTCACAATGAACCGAAGGACAGTGTGTTTGGGCCCTGCACACACACACACACACACACACACACAGTCACAGATATATAAGTCTAATATAATTGTGTCAGTGTCAGTATTCTCTAATAAAGTCCATAAAATTATTTAGCAGTACCTTAAAAAATTATGATGGATGGATGGAATCGTGGATGGATAGATGGATAGAATGATGGAAGGATGGATGGATGGATGGATGGATGGATGGATGGAATGATAGATGGATGGATGGATGGATGGATGGATGGATGGATGATAGATGATGGATGGATGGATGGATGGATGGATGGATGGATGGATAGATGGATGGATGGAGGGATGAATAGAATGATGGACGGATGGATAGATGAACAGATAGAACAATGGATGGATGGATGAATGGATGGATGGATGGATAGATGAACAGATAGAACAATGGATGGAGGGATGAATAGAACGACGGGCGGATGGACAGAAAGAATGGTGGATGGATGGACAAATAGAACGATGCATGGATGGATAGATGGATAGATGGATGGAGGGATGAATAGAACGACGGACGGATGGATGGATGAATGGATGGATAGAACGATGGACGGATGGACAGAAAGAATGGTGGATGGATGGATGGATGGATGGATGGATACTAAGGTATACTGCCTAACCCTAACCCTAACCCTGACTAAGAATGCACTGCATTATGACAGCACACACATGCACGCATGCACACACACACACACACACAGAGTGGTCTTACGTGTGATCTGCTTTCTAATGGGCTTTAGTAAATCCAGCCAGACCTGTAAAGTAAAGCAACAGCAGAGATGAGAACAACGTCACGCAGATCTTTAAATAGACCACACACGCACGCACACACACACACACACACACACACACAGTCTCAGCTTACGGCTCACTTTGTTTGTAAATAAACACACAACTTCATAACCCATCATCATCATCAGAGACCCGCTGCACAAAGCCGGTTTGGGTTTTACTGTGGTGAGTTCAGGTTTTTGCTCTTGAGGCGGTGAGTTGGTTTAGTTTGAGCTTCATCATCATGGTAACCAAGTCTTCTTTACACTCTAAATTAAAGATTTTACACTAAAAGCATTTTTGAGTCTAAATTGTCTTTTGTTGCTAATATTATATATATAATATTGTTATATTTATAAACATGTTATATATTTTAGTGCCAGTTTCCTCCACAGTCCAAACACATGCACTACAGGGGAATTGATGAACTAAACTGGCTGTAGTGTATCAGTGTAAGTGTGTAAATGAGTGTGTATGGGTGTTTCCCAGTACAGGGTTGCAGCTGGAAGGGCATCCGCTGTGTAAAACATGTGCTGGAATAGTTGGCGGTTCATTCCAGTGTGGCGACCCCTGATTAATAAAGGGACTAAGCTGAAAATAAAATGAATGAATAAACTATATATTTTTTTACATGATTTATAATTATTTATACTTAAATTACACATTCAAATATTATAATTATTATTATTATAAAATATAAATACTTATGTCATAAATTCAAATTTACATATAAATATTTACATATGCATTCTCTTCAGTATATCAAAGTATAATATATTCTTTAAAAAGTACTGCATTTTGAGCTGTTGGTGAACCTACACTCATGTGTCTGTGATTGGCTGTTTGCTGACTCATGTGTCTGTGATTGGCTGTTCGCTGACTCATGTGTCTGTGATTGGCTGTTTGCTGACTCATGTGTCCTGTGATTGGCTGTTTGCTAACTCATGTGTCTGTGATTGGCTGTTCGCTGACTCATGTGTCTGTGATTGGCTGTTCGCTGACTCATGTGTCTGTGATTGGCTGTTCGCTGACTCATGTGTCTGTGATTGGCTGTTTGCTGACTCATGTGTCTGTGATTGGCTGTTTGCTGACTCATGTGTCTGTGATTGGCTGTTTGCTGACTCATGTGTCTGTGATTGGCTGTTCGCTGACTCATGTGTCTGTGATTGGCTGTTTGCTGACTCATGTGTCTGTGATTGGCTGTTTGCTGACTCATGTGTCTGTGATTGGCTGTTTGCTGACTCATGTGTCTGTGATTGGCTGTTTGCTGACTCATGTGTCTGTGATTGGCTGTTCGCTGACTCATGTGTCTGTGATTAGCTGTTTGCTGACTCATGTGTCTGTGATTGGCTGTTTGCTGACTCATGTGTCTGTGATTGGCTGTTTGCTGACTCATGTGTCTGTGATTGGCTGTTTGCTGACTCATGTGTCTGCGATTGGCTGTTCGCTGACTCATGTGTCTGTGATTGGCTGTTCGCTGACTCATGTGTCTGTGATTGGCTGTTTGCTGACTCATGTGTCTGCGATTGGCTGTTTGCTGACTCATGTGTCTGTGATTGGCTGTTTGCCAACAAAACAAATAAGACTTTCTCCAGAAGAACAAATTTTAGAGGAAATAATGTGAACAATTCCTGAATCTGTTCAACATCATTTGGGAAATATTTGACTGAAAAAGGAGGGTGAATAATTCTGACTTCAACTCTATATTTTATATTACGACAAACAGTTATTGAAATTAAATGATTTCTGACTGTTTAGTGTAAATTTGGTGTAAATGAAGCAGAACACCGGGTGAAATAACGCTCACTCACCATCTTTCTGTGATGATTATGAAACTGCAGGCCAAAGTAATCGCCCTCCACCAGGTTCAGATGCAGGCAGACCATATCAAACAACACCCGTCCAGACGATCGGTACTGTTGACGACAAACACACACACATTACAGCTACAGTCACACACCCGTCACGCCAAAACACACACTATTCAACGTGTTACACCTGAATGATTAAACGCATTTATTTTTTAACAGTTTTCAGTAATTCATTACCCTTTCTGTGCTGTTGGGTCGTTTTCATCCACTCTGGGCTGATTTTAAGTCTTAATTTGGCCACAACTTTCTCTGTGTTTCAGTAAATGGGATGATTTTTGGTGACACACCTTATTTTAACACATATTTTTGGGAAAATGCTTCCAAAAGTTTAACAATACCCTCAGATTAACTTCCCTTTGGTGATGTTGGGGGCTGTTTTTGCCCCATTGACTTCCATTATAATAAATTTATTGATTTCAAAGCCATGACAGCAGATAATCCTGTGCTCCTGACTGCTGCTGCTTTTCCCTGTTGGGAAGAGGGACAGTTTGGTAAAAAGCTTAGCTTCTGGCTTCTATATGGAGTCCTTTGCACACTTATCTTGATATTTCTAAAAATCTAAATGAATGGATGAAATGATAGATGGATGGATGGATGGATGGATGACAGACAGACAGACAGACAGACAGACAGACAGACAGACAGACAGACGGATAGATAGATAGATAGATAGATAGATAGATAGATAGATAGATAGATAGATAGATAGATAGATAGATAGATAGATAGATAGATAGATAGATAGATAGATAGATAGATAGATAGATAGATAGATAGACAAACGGACGGACGGATGGATGGATGGATTGATAGATGGATGGATAGATGGACGGATGGGTTTTTTTTTATTTGTGTTTTCTGAACTGCCCCAACATTATCTGGTTTGGGGTTGTAGATATGTTGGTTGATGCTAACAATAAATGAATAACTGACTCTTTTCAGAAATAAAGACACCTCTTATCAGTCATTACGTTTGATGATTTGGGTCACTTGATTCATATTTCGTGCTTATCTATATATCAGTTATCTGCAGCACTAACACACACACACACACACACACACACACACACACACACACACACACACACATCTGTTAGTCTGACTCTTTGTCTCTCTCTACAACAGGACTGACCTGTAATATCTGGTTAACATGAGCCAAGTCAATTACTGAGAGGTCAGGAGAGAACAGAAGGCAGTGAAAACGCCACCGGCACATTTGTGTGTGTGTGTGTGTGTGTGTGTGTGTGTGTGTGTGTGTGTAGTCTATTCATTAACTCCAGCCTGGCCTGCAGAAAGCAGTGTTCAGTCGCTGTAACATCAACCTGAAACATTTGTTTGCCAGAGCTGAGAGATTTCTCAA